GTTTGGTGTTTTACTTTGTGTGAGATTTTTTTTTTTCTCTCTTATAATAATAATAATAATAATAATAAAATATGAGTTTTAGCGTGGCCAATTTGAGAAGTGGAGTAGGAATGGGATCATATAAAAAATGTTGACCTTAGATGGAAGTTTTGTGCATTATAATCCTACACAAAGGTCTTGTACTGTGATTGACACTACAAGAAAACAGCTGGATTCCGACGAAAATTTTCCATCGAAACATAGGAAAATTCGTCGGAAAACGGCCTTCCGTCGGAATCAGTCTGTCGCAAAATCCTTTATAGGAAATTTTACGTTTTCCGAGGGAAATTCCGTCGAAAGCCAATTTTCCGACGGAATAAATTCTCTCGGAGCTGGTTTTGACTTTAAGCGAGATTCCGTCGCAATTTTCCGACGACAATTATTCTGTCGGAAAAAAACATTCCGACGGAAAATTCCGGAATCTTCTCCTCTTCCGACGGAATTTTCCGCTGGAAAGTACATGTTCCGACGGAAAATTCCGTCAGAAGAGGAGATGTTCCGACGGAAAAATCCATCGGAAGGGTAGACGGTTCAGACGAAATTTTCCGTCGGAAAAGGAGAAGATTCCAACGAATAATTCCGTCGGAAGAGGAGAAGATCCGATGAATAATTCCGTCGGAAAGTAAGAGCTTTCGACGGATTTTTCAGTCGGAATTAGTCTTGTTAATTTTAGCAAATTAAACGATTTAATTTGAATTTACCACTATTTGAAACTTATATCTCCTGCACCTAATTTAAGATAAATTTGAATTTATGATTTAATAACGGAAATATTTTAATATATTTATCTATAATAATGTATACATTGTGTGCAACTATACAACATAATCCAATCTAAGTAAATGTACATACTATATACACAAATTCTAAGCTACAACCGGAATACCCTGCCCTGCACCGCCGCTACCGGGTCGTTCGTGGGGTCTCGACGCTGATGTGGAATGTTGGAACATGGGTCGTTGCTGGAGAATCGACGCATCATCTCATCATACCTCTCTTGGTTTCTCCTTTGTCGAGCCTCCATCTCGACTTCCATTTGACTCCGAAGAGCTTGCACCCTCTGCTCCACCCTCTGTTCCAACTGATCCTGCATCTGGGAAAGAATGGAAGGCGTGTACTTCAGGGAACACTTGGAACCTAGACCCTTCCTACTGCCATAATATAGCTCTGCACTTTGGCCAAGTCCCTTCACACGACCCTTCTTGTTGCGACCACCTACAATTTCCCAGTACAACTCATTTAGACTCTTCCGAATCCCTTGGGTGCTTGCTTCTTCAACTTTCTTCTGGTAGGCCTCCTACAAGATACACATATGAAAAGGTGCACACAGATGTAAGTTAAAATAAGCTTTCTGAACAAAATAGAACCAAGTAAGGCCTATATGACCTATTCTTTGCCCATTTTCTACATTTCTTACCAAATGAACCATTTCTTTCTCATAACAGGTCTATTACAGGTAGTTTTAGGTGTGCATGCCTTGAAATCACAAAAAAAAAAAAAAAAAAAAAAAACCAACTCCCTAAGTTTTGGGAACCATTTGGACCAAATTCAACCAAGTGAGGCCTATATGACCTATTCTTTGCCCATTTTCTACATTTCTTACCAAATGAACCATTTCTTTCTCATAACGTGTCTATTATAGGTATTTTTAGGTGTGCATGCCTTGAAATCACAAAAAAAAACCAACTCCCTAAGTTTTGGGAACCATTTGGACCAAATTCAACCAAGTGAGGCCTATATGACCTATTCTTTGCCCATTTTCTACAATTCTTACCAAATAAATCATTTCTTTCCCATAACATGTCTATTATAGTTAGTTTTAGGTGTACATGCCTTGAAATCACAAAAAAAAAAAACAACTCCCTAAGTTTTGGGAACCATTTGGACCAAATTCATCCAAGTGAGGCCTATATGACCTTTTCTTTGCCCATTTTCTACATTTCTTACCAAATGAACCATTTTTTTTTCTCATAACATGTCTATTTTAGTTAGATTTTAGGTGTACAAGCCTTGAAATCACAAAAATGGGCCAACTACCTAAGTTTTGGGAACCATTTGGAAAGTAATTCATGAATCAATCAAATAAGTTCAAATCCTGAGTGTTATTGAAGTTATTACCGCAATATGCTGTTCTTTGGTATTGACTGGTACTGTGCCTTTCCCAGGCACTTCCTTGAAGTGCGTCTTCAGAAAAAGCTCATGAGCTGTTGGGAGCTGGCCTTTATTCTTCGCCGCCTTTGATTATACATGTAGAAAATTATAAACTTTAAATGTTAGAGCACCTTTACATAGTAATACACAATTCTCTTCTATTTTACCTGCCTATTCAACAAACTTACCATCCGTTTAGCATGTTTTACAGCTGACATCGAACCCTGATAGTAGGTAGCTTCAACCGCATTTTCCATTGAACTGCCCCTCTTGTTCTTCTTGTTTTGGGCCGACCTCTTCTTGTAAGTTGGATCAGTGGAAACAATATCCATTATTTTCTTGTGGACGTCCTCATTGAGCTAGCCTAGCTTGGCGCCTTTCTTCTTTTCAAAAGTGTGCTTCACTTCCTCGGTCAATTGAGGTGCCCATGTGAATTCTTTCTGCAAATAATAAACTTTAAAAGTCATATACTCAACGTCATCTCATACTTTTCATAAAACATGTATTAATTACGTTTAAAATAGCTTACGCTGAATAAGTTCCACCAGTGTTGCTTCGTTCCTTCATTTACCTCTCCATAATTCCTCCAAGGCTCTCGATAGTACCCGGTTAGCGTCCCGGAGACCGCATTCCTCACCTTGTTGTCGTCAAACCTACATTTAAAGACGAAACCACAAAGTTAGATGATCATCAACAAAAAGTATTATAAAACTTGTTAGAGATAATAAATAGGTTAATTTCTCAAAATTAAGAATATAAAACCAATTCATTGAATGTATGTACGTCCAGAGCACAGTAGGGTCTAATACCGGCAACTGTGAATGCTGCTGTGTCTGATCTCGTGATGGGCTGGAAGTGGACTCCTGAGTAGCACTCAAATCACGTGCATCCGCTTCCGCCATGTCTTCATCGGAGGAGTCAATCACCATTGTCTGTTTACGTTTATCTTTACCGCCCGCCATGATCACCTGAAATAGTTGTTAATAACATGACAACATAGTATAAGTTACCAGTGTAGTACAATGTAATAAAATTTCAGCGTAAAAGTAATGATTTATTATAAGACCAAGTCAATTTTTGATTTTACAATAACAAACAAATTCAACGAAGGAGAGTAACATATTCTCCTATTCATTAATGTCACCACTACTATCACTACTTGAAATCATCACTACTATCATCTAATAATACATCGATATCATCATCCTCGTCACTATCACTAGAGTTGATGCTAGATTCATCATCTTCATCGCTTGAGATAACAAAGCCATCGTCATCATCTTCATCATCATCATCTAGGACATAGTCTGGAATATCATTCGGTGGGCAAAGCGTTGCATGTACTTGTGGGGATGGTGCCTGCAAAAACTCTAAGTCCACCGGAGCATCAACCACTGATCTAGCCTATGTTTTAAAAACAGCCCACCATTGTACTCGATCCCGTTTCAGGCTAGGGTATGATGCGTAGTACACTTGAGTCACTTGGTAAGATAAAACAAAGGGATCGTACTTGGGGATTTCTTAGTATGATTCACTTCGACAAGCTTGTATTGTTCATGTATGTTCATTCCCCTACCACAATCCATCTAACTACACTTAAACAAAATAGTCTTGTACTCTTTTTCTGGACCATTGTAGACCAGTTCAATAATGTCGTCTAAAATGCCGAAGTACTCTCCACCATCCTCACTTGATACACACACGCCATAATTCATCGTAGATTTGTGCTTGCCATGGGCATGTGTATGGAAATTAAAGCCACCGACAAAAATCTGCTTCCAAGTTCGAACACGCTTGAAAGGGTGCATGCACAATGCTCGCAGCACATCCGAATTTGGTTCCTCTTCAACAACCTATCGACGTTTTGAATATAACCGTCACACTTCCCTAATTGAGTAAATTGAATAGCAAGGAATAGAAAATCATAATTATGTCACGGTTAGACAGTTTATATCACCTTGCGATGAAACCAATCAGAGAATTCAGCTTCGCATTTCTCCATTACTTCTTCTCTACGCAGATAAGGTCGAGTACAAAGAATGTAGTCCTCGAACTTCCTACAAGGCCAAAAATAATGTAAATCAACATTGTAATCATTTTAGTTGTTCATAGCTTTGAACACACTTCATTCCTAAACATATTATACCTTTCGTATTCACCAAGAATGCCGGTGTTTCGTAACATGAACAAATGAGCGCACTCGAGTTCTTTTTCATCTAAAAACCGAGTTTTGCCCTCATTTGACACATGACCGCTATCCTCCGTGAACAACTCTGGAATTTCAGCGTCGTCCACTGTGGAGTCCACGTCGGCATTCACATTTTGACCGAGATCTCGTGTTTTAGTGTCAACTGTCGCCTGAAAGTAGTTACAGCATAAGTTTGCTATCTCTTCGGTGAGATAAGCATTGCAAATGGATCCTTGAACCTTCAACTCGAGCCTTGTTTCCAATTTTTTCGTTTCAAATGATTGAGGAACCTGCAATCATAGTTATGTATATGTATAAACACGACATGACATTGAATTTGATGTAAGAAATAAGATGTGCATGGGTCTTTGATTTACCTTTCGAACGGATACATCCATCTATATTGAACAGAACCACTTAACTTCCCCTCATATGGCAAATGAATAGGTAAATGCTCCATGGAGTTAAAGAATGCATGGGGGAAGACCTTCTCAAGCTTGCACAGGATCTCAGCTATGTTTTTCTCCAATCGCTCCATGTCACTAACTGATGTTGTATAGCAACACAAATCGCGAAAGAATTGGCTGATCTCTGTTATTGCATTCCAAATATGGCAAGGGAGCTATTCCCTCAGAGCAGTAGGCAACAACCTTTCCATGAACACGTGACAGTCATGGCTTGTCATTCCGTGTAGCTTACATGCTTGCATATCTACGCATCTGCTCAAATTAGAGGTGTAACCATCGAGAAATCGCAGCTGTTTAACCCACTCACACAAAAATTTTCTCTGAGCCTTGTCAAGAGCGAATGGAGCCCTTGGCATGAACTCTTTTCCTCTATCATCCTCCTGAAGATGAAGCTGCGGACGTTTACAATATTTGGCAATGTCATTTCGAGCGGATGGCGTGTCACACGTATGCTTTTTCACATCCATTACTGTGTGAATTAACTGATCAAAGAAGTTATTTTCAATGTGCATGACATCTAAGTTGTGACGAATAAGTAGATGCTTCCAATATGGAAGCTCCCACAGTATGCTTTGCTTGAACCACCCCTTATTTTCTTTTTTGAGGCGTTGAAGTGACTCGGGTCCATCTGTAGCCCTCGGAAGGTCTTTCACACATTCCCATAGCTCCTCTCCTGACCTAATGTGTGGAGGTGTACCCTTTTCAACTTTGTTTTTGCAGAATGCATTTCTACTATTCCGAAAAGGGTGATCTGTCGAAAGGAACTGGCGGTGGCAATCAAACCAAGAAACCTTACAACCATGTTCAAGCCAAAATGCTTTGCTTTTCTCCATGCAATATGGACAAGCTTTCTTACTAGATGTGGCCCAACCGGACAACATACCATAAGCCGGGAAGTCACTAACGGTCCATAGGATGGCTGCTCGAAGATTGAAATTTTGGTTCATCGAAATATCATATGTATGCGCGCCAACTTCCCATAAGTGTTTCAACTCCTCTATCAACGGTTGCATGTACACATCCAAGTTGCCCTTAGGGTTTTTAAGACTAGGAAAGAGCAACGAAAGGAACATAAATTGTCTTTTCATACACATGGAGGGAGGCAAGTTGTAAGGGGTCAAAATGACAGGTCAACAAAAATATTGTCCCCCAAACTTGCTATGAGGAGCAAAACCATCTGTACACAAGCCAAGCCGAACATTACGAGGCTCGGAGGCAAACTCTGGAAAGTAACTATCGAGGTGTTTCCAAGCTTCACTATCACTAGGGTGTACCATTGTGCCTTGAACTCAAGGATTTTTTGAATGCCATGTCATTTCCTCCGAAATGTTCTTGGTTGTAAAGAGCCTTTGCAACCTGGGTGTGATCGGGAAATAAAACAAAACGTTCAAAGGCACTAGGCTACCCTTGGAAGTCTGCTTGTATCGGTCGCTGCCACACGCCTTACATGTAGACAGCTGAGCATCATCCTTCCAAAACAACATACATCCTTTCGGGCATGCGTGAATCCTTTCATGAGGCAGTTCCAAGCCCTTCACAATCTTCTTCACCTCATAAAATGTGTCGGCCATATGGTTGTTGTTAGGAATTGCTTTACTGAGCAAAGAAACAAACCCATCAACACATCTATGGGGCAGATTATACTCGCACTTTAGACTAGTGATTCTAGCAGCCATCTCTAACACAGACAACGAACTCCCTTTGTATAATGGCCTTTCATAAGCCTTCAACAAATCCAGAAAATGCTTAGCTTGTGCATTAGGATCCTCCTCTAATGAAACACTAGCCTGCTCGGAATTCCCTTGATCGTGACTATGACCAAAAGCATCGAAAACCATTTCACGATATTCATTAAACCGCTGTTCAGGAACTCTTGGAAACCCTTCCCCGTGACACACCCAATCATAGTAATTAGGTATAAAATCCGTGCGAAACAGATGAATTTTAACCGTTTTTGGATCCCAAAGCCGTTTGTTCTTACATTTAGCACATGAGATTTGAAATGCTTCCAAAGGGTCCTTATCACTCCAACCTAACCCATCCTTGTACGTTTAATCTCACTAGTGAATGTAAGCCAGGTTTTCAATTCTATGGAAAATCCGCCAGCATTTCCCTACAGTTCTCCAAGTACACGATGTAGGCGATTAAACACACCTACATATGTACCCAGAGAACATTGTAGAGAAATGAAAAGGCAGGATTTTCCCTAGAATCAATAACAAGGCATACATTCACCACCTAACTGAGAATAAGCGTACAAGGACAGTCCCAACCGGGGTCTATTCAAGACATACTCCTAATGTGTGTGCCTTGAACGGGTATCTAGGCAAATAATTATGAAAATGATTCATTTACAAAATATATAAAGTAAAGGACACATGCATTATACTAAACAAATATATATCATAATTAAACTAAACTAAACAAATAAATGAGCACAATTATTAAGTATTATATTAAACATTATATCAAAAAAAAATATTAAACTAAATAAACTAACATACACTATATTAAACTAAACTAAACTAAACTAACATACATTATTATATTAAACTAAACCAAACTAAACTAACATATTATAACACAACAATTAAAAAGTAAACTTAAATAAACTAAACTAAACTAACATATCATAATACAACACATTCATTTCAAATATTTCAACATATTAAAATGTAAATACAACAAATTGTATACACTACACTAAAAACAATAATAAACTAACATATATCTAAATACAATTAGTCACTAACATGCCAAGTATAAACTAAACTAAGAATTTTAGGGTTTATATAGTCTCTAACCTGTAGATTTGCACTTGTTATTGACAATCAAACCAAGTAACTCTACAAATCCTACGAAGAATTCAAATTAATAACTTAATTCCTGTTTATGCTGTCAATTTTTATAAAAAAATAAAAAACAAAAAAAAGGGGGGCAAGACTAACTGGGGCTGCAGAACAACGGTAGGCTAGTGGTGGTTCGGGTCGCAGATCGGCGGGAGGCTGGTGGTGGTCCTGGTGGCTGAGCTCAGGTCAGTTTTTAACTACAAAGAAAAAAAAATGGCTTAGAAACTTATCGACCGATAGCGTTGGAGTCACAAGGCGACGGCGGAGTCATGGCTCGTGGTTGTGGTGAAATCCGGTGGTGGCTGTTGACATGGTGGTGGTTAGGATTTCACGAAAAAAAATGACAAAGAAACTTACCGGACGGCGGCGTTGGATCAGTAGGGGACGGCGGCTTCACGGCTAGTGGTTGTGGTGAAACCCGGTGGTGGCTGTTGACATGGTGGTAGTTAGGGTTTTGACGATAAAATTTGATTAAAAAAAAATTAACTACACTTACCAATGGTGGCGGCGTAGTTGAGGCGGCTCGGTGGTGGTCAGCGGAACAAAGAGACTCGCCGGCCGGAATTCTACCTTTCTCTCTCTTCCTCTTTCTCTATCTCTTCCTTTCTCTCTCTTCGTATTTCTGAATCTGGGTGTTGAGATGCATTGACTTTTTTTTTAATTTTGTTATTAGTTTCGACGGAATTATTTCCCTCGGAATTTACAGATTCTGACGGAATATTCCGTCGGAAGCAGTAAATTCCTGAGGGAAAAAAATCCGTCGGGATAATTCCGAGGGATTTTCCGCACCAACTTACCTTTTCCGGCGGAATTTTCTGACAGACCCAAATTCCATTGGAAAATTCAAAATTTCCGACCGAAATTACGTCCGTTGGAACAATTCTGTTGGAAAACGGCCTTTTTCTAGTAGTGTGATCTTCTATGCTTTCAATTATTTGTTTTAATTGGATTCTTATAAGACTGATACACTATGTCATGTTTGGGAAAACAATAATCATAGATTCATAGTATTATGAATTACTGTGTGGCCAATGGTAAAAATTAATCCATGTTATATAAAGGAAAAAATAAAACATATGAACATTCATATTTGCTATATTAATCATATGAGATATGCACTAATCATATGAAATATTAATCTAGTCATTTATAAGAATCCATAAGCAATAGCACAATATTTATTTGTTAAACATTTAAATTCACTTTTTTACACAAGGAATTCACTATTTGAGCTGTAAAATGAGCAACACACTATTTAAAAAAATTCCGTATTTTTAATTGATGAAATTTTGAGTTCAATTGAATTTCATGGTATGACTTTCGTTTTCTCTAAGCTGTATTATTGAAATTCAAAAGGGAAAAAATATAAGAGAAAACTTAATTCGAGTTAATTAATGAGAAAGAGAGGAAAGACATATGAGAGCCGAAAGAAATGTAGTGATGTTTCTATATTAGACCGAGTGGGTATGGAATAAGGAAAGAGAAGATATATATATATATATATATATATATATATATATATATATATATATGTATATATATGATTAATCAGAAGCTCATAATTATGAATAGAACTAGGTTAAGGATTTATCAACGTTTTAATATCGACACAAACTTGAATCCGACTCGACATGACCCATTTGACAGCCCTTATTAGCAAAGGATCTAAAAAATCAATTAACATTTTGAGGGGCGAAATTGTCTCAACATTGTATATAAAGAATTGCTTATTGATATGTTGTGGGTTTTATAGATTGGAGATTATGATAGATTCGAAACATTTCTTATGTGCGTTTAAATCTACATTCAAAATAGAAATCGATGAATAATATACATCTTTGTTTATCTTCTCATCAAACTCAATCCTATTTCTTATCCATTAATTTTATTTTTCATTTTTGTGGCTCATAATGAGATGATCAATTCATGTTACTCTTTCAATTCATTGGTTCTTATAAGTTTTATTCCAATCTATTTCTGACTGTATTTGCTAAGTGAACTTTTGATTTCAAATTAATTCAAACCTCAATTTCAAATTAGAAAATCATGTAAGCAAATAAATTAAATTGTTTGAAAGAATGTTGTAATTGATTTGTAAGAGAATACATTGAGTTGGCTATAGTTTCTTAGAAATACATTGGACTATGAAAGTGCTTATTTATAGCCTTCAATTCACCTCAATGGTTAGAATCTTCTGAATTCTAGAACTTCTAATCTCATGATCGATGAAATCTCGACACATGGATTAGAGGTTCTTACAAGCTTTCATTCGACTTCTGTATAACCAGTTTTTAGACAATTCCTAAAATCTTAACTAGAACCATCTACACAAACTATTTAATTGCCAAATATTTATTTAATGTCAACATGTTTGTAAGTCAATTATTGATATTTTCGATCATCACTAGCTAATCAAGATTAATTTATCGGTAAGACATCATTATAATACCATACTAGGTCTCGTGCTATATACGGTAATTTCACTACATTTAATCAACAAAAAAAAAAGTGTATTAAAAATAACATAGACAAAATACAACTATAATGTATTTATTATCTTCTTATTTTGCGTATATAATGAAATGAAACATGAAATATCACGAAAGAGTTGAATAGACAAATGAGTATATTAAAACTACATGTTAGATCATACGAGCGTTTTAAAAATTCATTGATGAATTAGTATTAATTTTCTTTTTATTAACCAAATTTAAAATTATGTTTTACACCTAATGCACAAGAATAATAACCCTGATTTAATAATATTTGGTCCATTTTTTTCCTAGAATATAATAATATATAAAAGTATTGAAGATACAAATAAAAAAGAATGAAATTTTAATTAATCAAATTTTCTTATATGATTATATGCATAGATAAAGTATTTATAATTTTACGCTATGTTGTTAAACTCTCTCCATTTTACTATGTTATTTGTATTTGTATTAGAATTAGGCGAGAAACCAATTAAAGTATTAAGAAATGAAATTCCCGTTTAATAATAATAATAATAATAATAATAATAATAATAATAATAATAATAATAATAATAATAATAATAATAATAATAATACGAAGTAATAGTAATAATAGTATAAGTTCAGTAAAAATAAGTTTAATTTAGTAAAAATAATTTCATTTCAGCAAAAATAAGTTCAATGCAGTAAAATCAGTAACTTTAAAGAAAAAATATAATATACTACCCCCGTTTCATATTTTTTGCAACTTTGAGGTATTATTTGTGAGATATAAAATATTCTAAACGGAGGTAGTAAAAGAAAATCAGTAAAAGATATTTTAGCTCAGCAAAAATAATTTCAGTTCAGTAATATTAATTTCATTTCAGCAAAAATAATTTTAGTTTAGTAAAAATAATTTCAATTCAACAAAAATGAGATAAAGTGAACGGAACCTTACTCGTATCTTTATTATCAACCCGAAGATATAAATTTGTACGTCATTATAGACGTAAGACTCCGCTACGTCATTATAGAAAAGTCAAACTAAAACATGCTACTACAGGTTATATAATATTGAAAAAGAAAAAGAAGACAAAGAATAACACACAAACAAAGGAAACAAACGTTACGTGGAGACTTCTAGACACTCATAACTACAACGAGAGAAAGTTTGGCCCACCACTTGGGAAAATAGTAGGAAAGTAAGGGTAAAATAGTAATTTTCAGGGATTTTGTTTACCCAAAATATAAATAAAATAGAAAGTTGCACATAATTTTGAGCGGACAAAAATGGCAAAAGTTGCAATTAAAAAAAACCGGAGGGAGTATAAACATTCTATTTTGTGATTACACATTCACTAGACGAAAATAAAAAATTTGGCACCGGTTCAAATCCCCCCTAAGGCACCGGTTTTGAACCGTTGGGGATTTGAGGGTTGCCAAATCCTAAAAAATTTGGCACCGGTTAATCGGTGCCAACTACATTGAAATTATTTTAAAAAAAACTGGCGCCATTAGGTTGGCACCGGT